GAATTTCGTACTCCGCCCATGGTCCAAGTCCGAGCGGAGAACGGAATCGAGCCTGAGAGGGTTTCCGGAAGAGGAGTTGTTCCCCATCCATTGTCGTGGAATCCCGCGGAAATGGCGGACTGCTTCTGGTAGACATTGCCGACAGGTGAAGAAGTCGCGAGGGAAATCTCCAGCTCTGCCGGAACATTGGCACCTTGGAAAGCAAAGAGCGCCATTGTGAATCTCGCTTCCCGTCTGCCCACTTGGCCTGCCCTTGATCCAAAGGGTGTTGTCTGCTGCCGTTGTTCTTTCTCTCTGGAGCTGATATCGGGCACAGACCATGCGTGTCTGGATTGCTTACTAATAACCACACAGGTGCACGTGACACTGGATTTCAATTGCAGCCGCAGCTCGACGACACTTCTTGATCTTCAAACAACAACACTGCATGACCGACAACTATCCTGATAATTACATAGACAAAATGCTGACTCGCTATTAATATGTACTAGAATGGGAAAATACATGACATCGTTATTGGAACAAGGGTACTTTTTTTGCAAAATTTAGATGAGGGTGCCGCGAAGAGCCTGCTCACGCTCGATTGCCTCGAAGAGGGCCTTGAAGTTGCCTGCACCAAAGCCGGAGAAGTTGTTGCGCTGGATGATCTCAATGAAAACGGTTGGCCGGTCCATGAGGTGCTGCGGATACCGTTAGCAGGAGTTATATCAGAATCGAAGTCACACGACCAGGGCGCATACCTTTGTGAAAAGCTGCAAGAGATAGCCGTTCTCATCGAAGTCGATGAGGATATCTAGGCTCTGCAAGGTTTCAAGATCTTCGTTGAGGACTAAGCCCTGTTTCTTGAGGCGAAGCTTGATGTCATCATAGTAGGTGCTGGGAACCTTGATGAACTCCACACCGCGAGCCCTGAGGTTGGTGATCGCGTTGATGATGTTGTCAGTTCGGAGCGCAATGTGTTGCACACCAGCACCGCTGTAGAAGTCGACATATTCCTCGATCTGGGATTGCTTCTTTCCCTTCGCGGGCTCGTTGATTGGCATTTTGACGACATCATTTGGCGATGCCATGACAATACTCTTCAGAGCGGAGAATTCGCTATTTCAACGGTTAGCCATCGTTGTGACCACTGCATGACTCGGATCAGATCACTTACGTGTAAATATCCTTGTCATCAACAGACCAGAATCGGTGGAATCCGAGGATTTTCTCGTAGCTATGGAGTCTTAGCAAGTTGCAAAACAGATTAGGCGCAACTGACTTACTAGTCGCAGACTCTTTCCATTTCGTTCCAGTCCTGGTTGCCGACGCAGTGATCTATCCTCTCAAGGACAACCTGTGGGAGCATTTTGGAAGTGGGATCGACGCTGTTTTCCATTCGGTATCCGGGCATGAATCCGCCGGTGTATGCTGACCGTTCAATGAGGGTGTGGGTGGTTTCCCCATACGTCCGAATCGTTGCGACCTTGATCTCGCCAGTCTCGTCCTCTAGTGTTCTGACACCGGAAACAACCTCAGCACCGTTCGCGACAGCGGCTGAGAAGACGGCGTCTACCGAGTCGACTTCAAAAGCAACATCCTTGACACCATCACCGTGCTTTTCAAGGTGGGCGTGGATTTCCCTCAAGAGTTCTTCGTCTTCGGGGAAACGAGAGGCTTGTTCCAAGGATCGAAGGGGGGACGTCAAGATGAATGTGATGTTTCCATTTCGAACAACGTGGGAAGCTACCGCCTTGGAGCCGGTTTCTAGGCCGCGATACGCCACCCTCTCGAATCCCATACGGGTGACATAGTATGAAGCCGCCTGTTTGGCATTTCCAACATACCAGTGGACGTGGTCGTATCCTCGATATTGGTTGAGATCAGCGGTTGGCTGAAGGACTGGGGAGTCAGCTACTGGGGCCATGTTGCGGTCGTGTGAGTTGTTCTTTCTCGAGGCGAGTTTATATGTGGTGCTTGGGACAAGGCGAAAGGAGATCCAGCGGCTTGACAGGAGTTCGTGCAGAAAAGAAACTGGAGATGGGAGACGCTCCTCGCTAGTTAAAAGCTTTTCAAGGTCAGCAGTTGCCAGTTGCCTGTTGGCCGCAAGACCCATCAAGTCCTACCACAGAACATGATATTCCCCGACGATACTGCCTGCCCTCCAGCGCCACGGCCGTCCCGTCCCACGCGCGAGAGCTTAGTGTTGGGATACTGCCGGCATAACCGGGTAATTCCGGCTGTTTGGGATGCTGTCCAATCAGCATACCCACCGACCCCGGATAGAAGCGTTTATTCGCACCCGCTTACGTCACGGCTATTCTTATTTTGCACATTCGCCTGTCGGCTTGTCGGCTTATTAGCATACA